CCTATACAACCCCTATGTAACTCTTACAGAACCCTCATATCCCCTCTTAGTAGCGGTAGTAGTAGTAGTAGTAGTAGTGGTAGTAGTAGTAGTAGTTGTTGTTGTTGTTGTTGTTGTTTTCTCCATGTTTTTCCATTATGCCTACATAATTCTTTTGAGATTATACTCTCATATTCCTAGTTAAAATGATATAGTAATAGGCCTAGTCATTAGACCCTGTTAGTGGTGCAACCTCCCAGGGTCCCGCCGGTCGGCTTCAGATCCTGGAACCAAGGCAACTCGAAGCGCAATCCTCGAGAGCAGCCTGGATGCCATAAATGAATATGCACACAGATGTACGTGTGTGTCTATGTACCTATGCCATGTACATATCGATATTTCTACATATACATATATGTGTTCTCGCGGCTTGCACGTCCAGCCAGAAAAGTGTCAAGCTTTGGGCAACAAGCTGCGTCGATTCCTGCGAAACTGTCGCGTCCCGCTTTTTCAAGAGGCGCCTGACCTTGACCTTCAACCGCATCTTCGACCATGAAGCCGTGGATTTGGACAAGGTCCTCATAGGATTCTACGATACTCAGGGCACTACTGCATGGTCCAACAGTGTTAGTCAATTGCGTGCTATTGCTTACCTACTGAGCCAGCACTTGCCCTAGCGGCGAAGGCAGAATGCCTGGGAGGAGAGAAGATAAGGAGTGTTCAATTGCCTGGGCGTGCTTGGCACCATGTCAGGATCTCTACGAAGTCCTTGGCCTTGCAGAGGACGCGGATGAGGCGAGCATCAAGAAGGCCGAGCATCCCGGCGCCTGCCTTGTGGATGGATCACTACATGTCCTCGTTACAGACGCTGATCCTCATACCGCGTTTGCCATGACATGAGTACTTCCACACTTCTTGACAGGTGTATCGAAAGCTGTCAATTCAGCTGCCTGCTTGCATGAAGTTGCTAGTCGGGTGAGTGACCCACATTTTGGGGCAGTAGGAAGATGTGCCAAGATTTGCTGGCACACTGTCATTTGCCTGTGTGGACTACTCAGGTATCATCCTGATAAAAATCCAGACGAGGCATCCAAGGCCAAGTTTGCCGAGATCCGAGTCTTGGCTGACATCCCTTATCGAACAGGTGATTCGCGTGCGTTGGCCCTTCACGGTATTGCACAGTCAGCGTGTTTGTTGGCATCCCCCCAGATACATCGTCGTGTAAAAAAAGTGCGCAGCTTCATCGGCAACAGACCCCGTCCGGAGCATGGACGGGGTTGTGCTGAAGCAGACTGCACGAGCGAGATCTCAGGAGATGCATACGAGATCCTTAACGATCCTGACAAGAAGATCTTGTATGACACAGGCTCGGAAAGTTGAGCCCACACCTTCACACGAATCCTTGAAGATTTGGGCAGACCCAAATGATCCAGGAGCAATTTTGAGCACCCGCCCTGCACAGCAAAATGCTTCGCTCCCTTTGCAGGTGGCATGGCTGCTGTCAAGGATTCCGAGAAAGGCAAGGTAGAGTCCACTAGCGACGTCCATTCAGCAGCTCGGGCACGCCAAATTGTCCCTGCTCTGGAGTTGCAAAGTTGCGCAAGCTTAGAGTACTCGCGCATTCAAGCCGCCATTCAGGAGAGGCGATATTTCCCAAGCCAGCTGTCATGTTGAGAAGGCCTTCCATCTCAAATGTCACTGGCTGAGGAGATTGAGGTGGGCTTAGAGGATCTCTACCTCGGCACTGAGTTCCGAGCTACGGCCACTTGATTTCAATGGAGGCAGTTGAAGGACAGCTTGTGAAAGTCGAGTCGTGCAGGCGCTCATGACATCACAGGCTCGCCTAGTGCAAGGCTCATGACGTCAATGGTTCATGCTGTTGCCGGCGCAATGTCACGGCGGCTGTGCCTTTCTTCTCTCCACTACAGCATCTCCCCTCAAGGCCTCCCAAAGCACAAAGCACCGAGCCCTCCAAAACACCTTGGCGCTTTAAGGTTGAAGATGCTGCAGTCAGTATGTCCAACCTGCTGCTCAGGTCAAGCGAGGAGTTGTCATGCACTTAGACCATGTTGACTTATTAATGCACCGTGGATTACACCTGGAGCTGTCTGTCACGGCTGAAGGTTTGCAGAGGCTGTCGCAAAAATCCCAGCTCGCCCAACTGCAAGGCCAGCTCATCCGCTTTGCGTCAGCCTGTGCAGTCTCATGATGACATTGTCACCCAGTCCTACCTCCTATTTGCGAGCCTACTATGCTGTCACTTGGCACCACTTTGCGACACAGAATCGCAAAGCGCGTCAGTCTGAGCACCGCACGGTGACTCTTGCGGAATGCGAGACGTGTATTCATGCAGCCTGCCGTCAACCCGCGCGAGGGACGTAAGCATTCATTGCGTTAACGCAGCAATGTCCAAGACCCTTGAAAGCCGAACTTCAATGCACACTTACGGTGGAACTTGAGCTGTGATCCTCAGGAGATTCCTTGCTTGCAGTGTAATCACATGAGCTGCAAAGCGTCGCTGACTTGCGGCAGGGCTGCCGCAAGTGCAAGAACCAGATCAAGGCGGTGACATTCTTTTGCGAGTTAAAGCCGATTCTGATTCAAAGCTTGCAAGAGACAGAAACCTGAAAGCAAGGTGGTGCAGGTCCAGATGGGCCCATTCCTCACCCAGCAGCAGCAGGAAGTTCCCAGCAAGGTCCGTTACTGAGACCTTGTTGCACGTGGACCGCCAATTGCAGAAGGCGTCGAATAGCGACAAGGTTCCTAGCTGAGGGATTTCCGAGCTTCTAGTATGAAAGCAGCTCTTGAGGAGCAGTGCTTTACCCAATACATTTTGCAAGCCATGGCCTTTTTTTGACTGTTCCTGCAGTGCTAGTATTCCTTTACAGGACTTCATATCCCTGGTTAGAACGACAGATTGCTGAGTCACGTTGACATGTTCTCCAAAAACCCGTGACCGCGCGGAAGTTTGCACAAGCATTGGCAGGAGAAGTGCAAGGATATAGATGCACCGTTGGATGTGCACATTGAGCTCCTCAGCTTAGTGTCAGTGCTTCCACTTGTGGACAAGCAGGTGCTTCTTTCTTACCTGGAGAGGGACTCTAGCCTGTTTATCAAGAGCATTGTGTTCCAAACTGCGAGGAAGGGCATGACCAGTGGCGACACGGTCACCTTTCCCCGAATGGCAGAGGCCGAAATTGCAATGATTTGCTGGTTTGCTGCCTTCAATGAGCACATACACGGAAGTCAATACGGGTTCAACAAGCAAGGTAAGTGATAGCTAGCCGCATGCACTATCCACAGCGCGCTGTGCTCTTTGCGTTTCAGGAACGGCCTGGCATGCTGCCGGGAAGCGTAATCCTCAAGCTGAAGGCCAGATCAGATAGTATTAGCCAAGGTTGTGGTAGTAGTTTGCCACCATGGGATGTTCACCAGGTATAGGAGACTGTATCCAACAAGAACCAAATAAGTAAATGTTGAGTCCCTTGTCTAAGATGATAAAGCAAAGTCAGCCTGCCCACGCGTGGAAAAGTTGATCAAGCACGCCACACATACGTAAACGTGGTACGCGCCTCAACTAGCAGGCCTCAGTGTTTAGATAGAGTAACGCCTGGAAGCTACTACTGGCAGTCGGGCGTGAAAATTGCTTGCAAGTAGCTTTCAAGTTCTGCCGAGACCGTTGTTAGCAGGACAGAGCTGCCATGAAGTGCTCGCACCTTGCGATGCAGTTTCACCGCAGCCAGGCCAAGAAGCACCCGCGTTTTGAGCGCCGCGGCAGTGACCTCCACACAGACAGGGCCCAAGTTACTATGAGCACTTGAGGCCGTCACTATGAGGTCTGTTTATGATGAAGTCATGGGATCCTGTGCTGCGCCTCGTTCCTCCCCTCACCCAAAGCAGACCCCAATCAGCGCCTCACTGTTCTAGCTAGAGCTCATTAGCAGGGGGGGATGTAGTACATCAGAACCCCGTGCTGAAGCTGAAGCATGATGTGACTAGAGCGGTTCTACCAGAAGAAGTTTACATCCCATCCTGTATGGACTTTAGAAATAAGGCGGGTCAAGAGGTTGTTCTTTTATCAGGTCTTCACAGATTGAACGCGGCAGATGCCCCAGCAGAAACCCCACCATTCCAGAGCTTTTTGCAAGTTTTGGTTTTGTCCCCGCTCGTGGATGCATGAGGACTTGAAGATCAGCCTGCGGGAGTCACTCCTGGGCTGGTCCAGAACCATCCAGCACTTGGATGGACCGCAACAGATCTTGGTAGATTCGGTATGCTTGGCACTTGCAGGTTTGCTGCCTCGGCTGGCAAGATCAAACACGGAGTAACGGCAAGGCATTTTGATGAGCGCCCCTGATACATAAGAGCAGCCCTAGAGGCACGGAAGGTCGATTGTGAGGATTATTTGAACCCAAATAAAATCAGAGACCTGCTATTTGTGAAGAGGACATGAAGTCGAAATCAAGCAGAGCGATGTGACCAAGCACTTGCAGGCCTACAGTACTGTTGCAGTATGCTGCGGTGGATTGGAGCCACAGTGTGGCAGCAGTGTTTCAGTAGTACATATGCTGAAGTCCGCGAGGTTTCTGTTCGCCTGGCGGACATAGGATCCATCCCCAAATGGTAAGGACCATCCCGATCATGCGTTTCGTGTGGCATTCTCTGACTCCATGGCATGCCATTACAGTATGCAGGCTACCAGGTTAAGGGCAGAACACCTTGCATCAAGTCGAGACTTGCAGCAGACCTTTGTTGCAATTGCCAGCCCAAAGGAAGCGGCTCAGCTGCTCAGGTGTTGAAGAAGCGCAGTGAAGGAATGCCGCACAGAGATGACCCTGCCAGCTTTGGGGACATGCACGTGAAGGCCGGAGGGCAGTTCATTGATTTCGCATTATATTACTGATGCTTCAAGTGCAACGCGACCGAACAAGGAAGTACAAGGACGGGTTGAAAGGAGCACACCGTGCCGAATGTTCTCTTGCAACAGTTGTTTTCGCGCAATTTCAGGTGGCGGTGGAATTCCCGAAGACATTGACGCCACAGCAACGGGCACCTCGGATGTTCAGACAGAAAATAGCTGCAAGCCAAGCTTGTTGTTTCGAGATGCAGCCTGGAACAGCCAGGAAGCCATTGCACAAGTCTTCGCAGGCCAGAGGGTGTGAGCATCATCACGATAGCAGTCTCAGGAACTGCTACCCACCTGGAGCACGAAGCTATAGGTGCTTTGTAGAAGTTCTTGAAGATTGCACCACTAGGTATGGATGCAGGCTGTAGGAAAGCGTCCGTTGACCGTATTTTTGCAGGAGAGCAAATCATGACAGTCCTGTAACTCTACGCGCTGCACAGCATTTTGCTTTCTGTCCTGTCAGATGAAAGACAAGACCTGTGAGCAATGCTCATAGCCGCGAAGCAGATACAGATAATGGTGATGAAGGACCTGAGGGCTCTCGGTCCTGCAGACATTGCGCCACAACTGCGGCCACTCCGGCAGCAGTGGTTGAGAGAGGCTGTCGCGCATAGTTTTGCCTTGCAGCGCCAAGCCCTTTGAAAGGGATTCGCGCGTTTTCCAGAAATTCACACACGACGTCCGTTTCACGTGACGTCTGCTTGCATCTGGCATGAGGCTTTGAGACACTGCACATACGCACGGAATGCACCGCTAAAAGCAACACCGGCACTTGAAAATACATTGAATGGCTTGCTCGAAGCCTTTGCATCAAGTGCATGGCCAAAGATGGTATGCCTGGTATGCCTAGCAGAGAAGTCCAGACCCTCAGCTTCGAGACTTGACCCTCTGCAAGGATGAATGCCAAAGACCACTGCGGCTGCAGAGCGGTGCGCACCAGCAAAAAAACAGAGAAATGCAATAAGATATAATAAGATACAGCATAATAGGATGTATACATGCAGCTCCACCAGCTTAGACATGAACCAGCGGATGCAAACTGCTAGCATGAGATTGGCTGCCATTATTTGTGATGTATGATTTCATGTCGGCATTTTGCAGTCGCCTATCCCCTTTGCCAACTAGCAAGCCACGTGAGATGGGACATTTCAGGATGCTTCAGACGGCGCAGTATCCTGCTCCTCCTCACTGTGAAAGAGCCTTGCTTGTAGCATGAAGATTCTCAAAATCTTCTATTGCAGGTCCGAGGAAGGTCATGAAGCCGCTCAGACCGCGTCCAAAGCGGTGCGCCGAGTTGCTTTTCCAAGCTAACTTGATATCATAATGTGTCATGCTGCCGTGTTGTCCTTCATTACGGCAGTTCATGCTCAATAGTGGAAATATGCGGAACTGACACCACAGTTCACATCCTCCCAAGAAAATGAGCTGCTCAGTTCAATTAAAGAGAGGGCCTCCTTCAACGCGCGGCGTTGGTCTCATGGCCAGGCGACCTGCTCCGAGAAATGTGGTGAAGTCCAATGATCCGACCATCATCGAAGATGAGGGCTCTGATGCGAAATCATGCGCATAGGAGCAGGCTGGATCAGAATGGAAGTAGACACGTCAGCAACGGGAGTACATGGTATCTGGCTTCAGTTTCCCATTACGACATGTTCAAGTTAAGTACCCATGCTACAAGACTACATTGCCTCAACGCACACTAAGAGTTATGTAATGCTCGCAGGTCGGAACTTTGTCAGCAAATCAGGTGTATATCAGCAAAAAACTCGCAGTGGATGAAGCTCTAACGGGTTTGCTTGCCCAGACGTCGATGAGCAGGAAGCCACTTGGGTTTCAAAGCAAAGCTAGTGCCTGGTGGGTTCAACAGATGTGCTCATCAAACGTCCGAACCGCCTTTCTGAAAGGGGCCAAAGATTTGCAGAGTTTGTGCACAATGTTTCACAGCTGACATTGACTCAGCCTCCCGTATTCAAAATGTAGAACTTTCAATGGCTCTCAAGAGATTTCAGTAAATTTCAGTCAAATTTCTAGAGCCAGAAGACGTTATCCGTGCATTTCTCGTGACAAGCTGCAAGAGATAATATCTTCAAGAACAACAAATGGGCACGTACCAAAACGATTGGCTTGTAACAGGGCCCTTGGCCCACGCCCGTTACATACCCTGTTACATAGGGTATGTAACAGGGAGGTCTTCGCGTCATACCCCAAGTTTTTTGCCCTGCGGAAAACATGAAGGCTGCGCGATAAGGGGCATGAACAGGCTGGCGTTTCAAGAGACATGATCAGGACTTGCGGCGGAACGCGACAACCCCGCTTTGAAAAATTTGAAATATTCTTTTTTCGTATTTAATTCGAATAATTTATAGATAGCATATAGCGATAGAAATAAGGAATGAGATTGAAAATAACATATGAATTTCTAAATATTAAGATATAATTTCTATAGGAGATCTGAAATTTTTAGATAGATCTAAATTATTCTGAAATTTATAATATAAGAAATATTTGATGAATATATTCTCTATTTTTTGATTTATATTACTATAAATAGATAGAATTTCTCTGATTCAATATATAATTTATTGGAATTAATTTCATATATTTAGAATATTATTTATATATTATTCTTCTATAATATCGAATTATAGCGAATTTATATATTCTCTTTTTAATATTGATTAGAATTCATATTTCTATTTTCTTTTCTCTTTCTTAAATAGAGATATATGATATATCGATTCACGATATTTAAAGATTTGAAATTCTGAAGGCAAATAATAATTGAATGGGAATCGAATCGTAAAGAAGAATCTTTGCGAATAGATTCTTAATTATTTGGAGAATTATCTTCATTTTCAAGTAAATAAATTAAATCTCAATATTATTTTATATAAGAACTTATGATAAAATATATAGCTTTTTGATAGCTCGAAAAAGATATGAATAACTAATAAATGATGATCTTTTTCTTTCAGATTAGATATCGCAGGAAATGATTTGAAATGATTTCGCATTGCATATTATATAATCTCTGAATATCTCAAAGAATTGAATATATCGTTTCTAATATTTTATAGATAATTTCTGAATTTTTTAAATATTTTCTGGGATTCTAAAAATCTCTTCTGCGATTTCAAGAATCGTTTCTGATCTTTAAATATTCAAAATAGAAATCAATTTTTAAAAGATTCAGATATTATATAATAGATATGATTCTCCTAATCTAAAGTTTAAAAATATTTCAAATTAACTATCAAATAATCTAGAGAAAATCTATTTTTCAAAAAGAAAAATGATATAATAGATAAAAATCGTATCCTCCAAATTCAAAATCTCAAAAATTATAAATATATCTCAATAATACGGCGCGATTATTTACGATTATTTCGTTCATATGCGACCTATTTTTTTGCGGATTATTATTAAAATGATCTCTGCGGAGCCCTTAATGATTTTAAAATATCCGAAATTTTTGGTGCGGGCGGCGCGACCAAGAATATTAAAGAATTTTATGCGTAATCTCTATATCTGGAATGGATTTCCATATATTCTTATCTCTTTGATTATTTGCGTTGCTTTTTGAGAGAATATATAGATCCGAGATAGAGAAAGAAAATCTTTCAGAATTTATGAGATGAATATATCTATCTACGGAGATTTATGCGCTTCTCTGAATTGATAGCCCAAAAGAGATAAATAAGATAGAAAGAGCGGGCCAAAGATGGGGATTGAGCGATCAAAAAATCTTTTGAGATTTCGAATCACTTCTCTTTCTTTAATTATCTGTGCGGCAATTCGATAGAATCTTATAAATCCGAGATGGAGATCCAAAAGATCTCAAAATCTATAATTCGATCATTTGGGATCGTATCCTTATTGATCATATCCTTTTTCCGATGAAACCGTTATGATACGATAAATCTTTTCTATCCTCAGATCGTATCATTTATTCAATCTTAATCTATGATAAGATATATCTTCTAAATCGATTCGCTCCAAATCGTCGCGTAGAAAGTCCAAGAAAGGATGAATGCAGCAGAATGATCGGATCAGAGGCGGGAATCGCACGATCAAAAATCTTTCGAAATTTCGAATCATTTCTCCTTCCTTGATTATTTATGCGAATCTTCGATAGAAGCCCGAGATAAAGATATATCGGAATCTATAAATTAATCTTTTTTATTCGTCATTGCGAATATCCGCTCAATCTAGCTATATCTTTTCGATTCTCGAATCATTTTTGATTCAATACTAGATTATAATAAGCTTCTTTTTCTATATCATTCAAGATTATAGATTGACTATTTTTATTTGCGGAGATTTATAGATTCTTCCAGACCATCGCACAAATAATCCAAGAGAGATAAATGAAATAGAATAATCGAAATAGAAATAGAAATTAAGCGACCAAAATCCTTCCGAGATTTCGAATAATTTCTCTCCTTAATTATCCGCACGGCAATTTTAAAATATCGATATGAAAATACAAAATTTTTAAGTTGAGCTTTTCTGTTCATTTTTATTCCGACCTTGAATGGCCGTTCTACCTGCCTATAGCTTTTGCTCGCATCATTTGATCAATATTAAATTATAACTAAAATATTCAATATATCGCATAAATAGCCTTATGAAATAGAAAAATCGGGTCAGAATCGTATAGATTGTTCGTATCTTACCGCAGAGAATTCAAAATTCCATCGAAACGCACAAATAAAAAAGAAATGAATGAATCAGAAAAATCAAGTCGGAAAGTACAATCGCATATCCAAAACCTTCCGGAAATTATAAGCGGATCCTTTCTAATCCCATCTTCATCCGATTTCGAATGCCGATGAAGCCACTATATCTAGATAGATTTTTCGATTCGCAGATACTAGTACTAGCAAAATACGACAAAGTATATCCTATTCTCATATATTGCCTTCCATTCAGTATATTATAGTCTCTATAAGGTAATACGCAAATGGTGGTTTTTTTTGTAACTAGCATATCCGCAAATGGTATCTAATAGAAATATTCGTGTTTGGGACGTTTAGCATCTTCAAGTGATAAAATATCAAATATATATAAATAAATATTCAGTAACGGAGGATTCCGTATTCCCGATCCCTTGTTGCCCTGGTATCAGCGTTTCGACAAGTCATAAATATCAAAGCGCAAACCTCCCAATTCCCCTTATCCCTTAATTTGTTTCTTTCATATATTCGAGGAGTCGCCTTGTCTCTAATGGCCTGGCTTGGGGAAACCACCCTTACT